TGCTGTAATACAGAACCAAGGGGAAGAGGAAAGTTTGTATTTGTGTCTCCAATAGCCTAATTCCCTTCCTGGCACAACATTAAACTGTGCTAGCTCCCTGATATCGATAGGATTACGAGGGAGAAATAATACATATAAATTAAAATACATATGTGTAAAAACATATAGATTACTTCTTTTCTAGAAATGCCTATACTCCTTTAAAAGTATCTGCTATTATCAGCATTAATTCCCTGCAAGAAAGGTCTGTAAAAGCAGCAGCTCAAATCAGCTTCCCCAGTGTTCTACCTAAAGCACTATATATCCAGCTATAACCACCAAACTGACTAACACCATTCAAAGTATTACACTTCTGACACAGGATTCAAGTAACTTCTACAAATAACACGCAAGAGCAGGGACAGGACTAAGAAGTGTCTAGGTTTAGAAAGACCACATATTTAACTGAGACTAGCTCTTAGTCTGGAACCAACACTTTTTGTAGGAGCCAATGTGTCTAGACATTCAGGCCACCAGTTTTAGAAGCCAGATCTGACAGTTTTAGCCCGTGATCTCAGACAGAAATAGGAAGTTATGCTAGAGCATACAGACTAGCAGCTACTTTTGCATTCTGTTTTTGCAAAAGTGATTTAAAAATATTTTGGCATTCTGATCATCTTCTGGAGTTTGGTAATTAAATGAGTCAAGAGTTGCCACCTGAAGAATAGTAACAAGTCCTATCTCGAAACATGTTCACATAAAAAGGTCAGCATTTTTTAAACACTTACATAGCTCTGAATGTTATTGTTTGCTCTGTAGTTATAATACTCCAGATGCAACTCTTCTGGTGAGAAATCTGGAAAGCCTGTAAGGAGAGGAATAATAAAAAACCTCCAAGAAAATGTATTAATTCTTCCAATTGCCCTCTATAGTTATGAAGTGATGAAGCTTGATACCTTATCTATAAGCCCATTAGAGTTTAAGACACAAAAAAGATTCCTTACAGAACTTCAAAGATGTGAATGTCAGAAATGAATTTGCCATAATCCAATAATCCCTTATGTTGCATCACAAGGCAAATCATCACCTTGCAAATGGTTCCACAGAGGTACAACAGTGTGGATAAGCATAAAAAACATCCTAAAGAGCAGCAATAGGTGGCAACACTAAAAACATTACCTGAGACATTCAGCTTTTCTTTCATCGGTGAATAACATGAAAATATCCATTGTCCTGAAGATTCCCAAATTTCCATGTCTTTCACTACACTTTCACTAGAAAACAGAATAAAGGCACAGATAAAGGTGAATTCTATGGTCAAAACAAAACCACCAGAATCAATTGCCTAGTTTGAATCCAAAACACACTAAGTATTTTTTAATCCTTGTGCAGCATATACTGTCACAGGATTTTCCCTGAAGCTGTAGATCCCAATACAATTTAAAACCTTCTCAGTACTACACATTTTTAGGATATAAATGAACTTGCACAGTAGTCAACAGCAAAATTAAAAGGAAAAAAAAAGGAAAAAGAGGGGAAAAACAAAAGAGAGATAAGTACTCCATGTAAGTTTTTGCAAAAGAATCCAAAGCAAAGAAATTCAGAGAAATAGAAGCTACATCAATGAAAGTCAATCCAAATGTAATCAAACAGTGAAAGAGTAAAAACAGAAGTGGACAAGCCAATCACTACAGAGTAACAAAGATTCTAAGTAATTCAGATGTTTGTAACACAATATACATTATTTATTCAGCTTCCCAAACACGAATCTGTTAAGCACTTTCTTGATGCAATCTTAAGCAAATAATGGAAAGTAGTTCCAGAACCTTGCTTCTTCAACAAACCACACTGCTTGTTGTTCTTCATCACCTGTCCTGTAGCCACCCTCAATCTGCTGGTCACTCTCAGCTGACTCTAACATACATACATGTGAAACCAGGTTTCAAGTGTTTTGCTGTTGGCAAAACAATTTGTTATCTTATGTGTCTGCAAAATTAAGTAAAATAGCTCATTTTCTCAGAGTTTTGTGGGTTTTGGTTTTTTTAAAATGCTTGAAATGCTGTCCAAGGGGCTCTGACCCCTCATGTTCAAATACCGAAATCTTCTTCTCCTCCCTTATCCTCCTGCCCACAACTTAACCACCACATCATTTTACCAACATCACTGTTATCGAGCTGCCCAATCCAGGTTTAAAACAAGGACCGCTTTCTTCCCATGCCAGCATAACTCCAGAGAACTAAACGAAGAAGTGGTTTATATGGTTTTCACTACATGTCCCAGCCTCCTCCTCATGATCATGTCCCCTGCATTATCTCTAGTAAGTCAGTCAGCCTTTAAACTGCTCTAAAATGCTAAATGTTTTCACCAAGACAGAACTAAAACTTACATAAGTCTCTCATCTTCATCTTTAGCGCCATCAGCAATATTTTGATTGTTCGTTAATGCAGAGAATCTGTTCTGCGAAAAGTCTGCATTTCTGCTGCTGCTGCCTGATGATCCAAAATCAGGGGAGCCAAAAAATCCTCTTCCGTGATCTCTGCTGCCACCCCATGTATTAGACTTAAAGGTAGATGGCTGGATAACATTTGTGTATCTCTGGTTAGCAGTACCCCATCCTCCTCCTCCTCCTCTGCTAGTACCTTCCAATGGAAAAAGAACAACAAAAGTCTTAAATCATTAAGATATTTCACAATACAAAACGGTACATACAAAACGGTAAGCATAACTTAAAAAAATGGTAAGCGTAACTATTCTTATGGTGGCAATAAGAAGTTTGGAAAGAAAATGTAGGTTTTTTTCTTAATAAGATCACCCGATTATTTAGTGAGCTTAACCTAGTGAGTTACCCAGGGTAGTTCTGCAATCAGAGGTAAACGTGAACAACTCCTCACATCACCATGCCAACAACAACTGGTTTGGCACTGCAGAAGATACTTTCAGTTTTTCTGAGGTTGCTTCATAAAGGAACTGCTCCAGCAGAAAAAAAATTAAATTTAACTCAAAGTATATTTACATTAGGAGCTCCGGCCTACCTAGCTATAGCAGTGGCTCCGTTGCACAGTAAAGACCTCTCAAGCTAAGTTTTGAGATGTTGGGCACACCTGTGTGTGTTACAGACCAACTCCCACCCTCCCTCAGCATGTATGAAGACAAGCACCTGCACCCGTGCTACTGCCTCTGCTCCCCATCAGGTCTCTTGGACACCGAAAGCTTCCGAAGACCCCAGGCCAACTGCAATTAAAACCACATTAAAAAGGCACAACACGCAGGTGCTTGGAACTTCCTCATTTGTCTTCTAAGCAAAGTTTCCGGAGTGATTTTAATCTTTTCTCTATTCTTGTGGCACGTTTTTGCAGTCTCCGCGCCAGAGCCCAACTC